CTGACACCAACTTGGCTCCCATGTCTCCCACATATACTCACAGTGGGTCGTTAAGCACTGAGCATTAACTTCACACATGTGGCAGTCATTACATCTTGGCACGATCCAATTTCTAGCTGCTCACATCTGCATTTGTGCTGATTTATGCATGGTCAGAAGTCTATCTCTGTTAAAATCCCACACTCAATATAACAGAGAGAAAACAACAAATGGATTCCCCAAGGAATTAAAATTCCAATTCAGCTGATAACTCACTATACGATCAGGGTAATTTGACCCTTATCACTCTTTGTCACCTCCATCTCTCACTTACAAAAATGGAGGAAGTGAAACCACTAAACTGAGAGGAGTTTTTTAAAAAGGAAAAATATGAGTTATTTATAACACAGTTTATACAACTATCCAACATTTCTGATTCTACATTAAGGTACCAGATAAGCATTTAATTAATTACCTGTCATATAATTGATTTCTAAGGGTTATAGTATTGCTTCACTGTTCCTATTTGTATTCAGTATTATCTCTGCAGATACATTATTTGGGAGCAAATCTAGATTTAAATCCCGACTGTGCTATTTATTAGCTGTATGACTTTGGGCAAATTATTCAACCTCTCTGATCTTAGTTGCTGCATATGAAAAATGGGAAAAATAATTTCTATGTTATGAGATTAAATGAAATAATATATTAAAATGGCTGACATTTAGGATATTGTATGATATAACTAATTGTGCTGAGTATTGAACAGCACAAAACGAGTGAATGAATGAATGAAGCAAGCAGGATAGGATTTTCAATAGTAAAACATCACTCATTAGTTTGACACAAGTAAAAGGCCAGAGTCATGCTCATAAATAAGGCTGAGACTTCGAGTAGAAAAATATGTGAATTATGGGAAAAAATCCCACAACAACAGGAAGCGTATGTTACTCAAATGTCACCTCTGACTTCCCACTCTAAAATTATCTTTTGCTTAACCTAGAACCTAAGTATGGCCTTCAAAAGGTCTACAAAATTGAAAGTATAGACAACATTTTCTAACCTTTTTATAGATTCATATATGAGCTCCCAAATATTCCATATCCCTCTCCCCTACTCCCAAACACACACACACTCACACATACATATATGCTTGTGCATTCCCACAGACACACACACACACACACACACACACACACACACACACATAAAAAACAACGGTATTAGCCAAATACCTTTACAGAAAGGGTAAACTGTCAACTGAGCAAGAAATAATGACTTCCAATTCAGAGAGAGGGGAGCTGAATTCAAGACCAGACTTGGGGGCAAACTTGCTATGGGACTGAGGGCAAAACAGAGATTCATGAAAACCAGGGCTGGGGGAAACTTTGTTCTCAGCTGTTCTACCCTCCTCCTTCTCCCATCCCATTCATGGAGAAAGTAAGGTTCAAAGGAAGATCATCCCTTCACCAAAGTCATATCCAATAAATTATATACAGAATTTGAACCTCACACTCAATGAAATGATTTCCACAGTCTGTATCTCAGTATTAGGAGGACCATGAGTAGTGTTTATATCCAGAGGCTTCTACATTATCTTCTAATTAATAAATAATTACTATTCTCTTCTCTGGACCTAGAAATGTCATGAAAACATGAGTTTGGTTTTGGCAAAGTTCATTCCAGCTGCTTCTCAGTCCCAGCCTAGTCCCACAAGAGTAAGGCAGAGAGAAAGCCTGAAAGTGAGAGACGCTGTTATTAATCTTGTGTAGCACGGCAACTGGGAATTGCAGGCCTTGAGCTATATTTCTCTCTGTTGGCTATTATTCTCCTGTTCTCTTGATTATTATTCCTTCATCTGTCTTCCCTTTATTGATGTTCCCAACTATGCACAGCAAACAGCTAAGAGCTCATCCTCAGCTTCCTATCATTCATTGGATCAGAAAACGGGTGGAGGAAAGAGATCAGGTTATGGAGAAGAGAAACATGGGAAAAGATGACTTATTTTTATTTTTCTAACCAGAAACTTGATGTTACTGGAGGTAGTGGATGACCAACACATAAATGCCCAATCAATTCAAATGTATAATTACAAGCTCCTTTAGTATGTAAAAGATTCAAAAGCTAAATAGAAAAATAACTACTTTCACACAGGGTCTCTCGTAGAGTCATAGAATTTTCCTATGACTTTGGAAAGTAGCAGCAGAAGGGAGAAAGAAGGGGCTAGGTCGGAAGTAACATCACAGATAATAAGACATTTAACTAGAAGCAATGCCTTTATCAACTGGTCCTACTCCATCTGTTGTGAGATGTTGAAGTGGGCCCTGGAGAGAAAAAGTGACTTGGCTAAAGGACATGATCTGAACTGGGATTAGAATTTGATTCTCATGACTTCTGGTTCACATACCATAACATAAAACATACTGCTTCACTCCCCAAAACAATGCTATCCTATCCAGATAACTACAAAAGATAATTTAATTTAAAACTACTGCCTCTATACCCACCTCAGAAAACAATAACTGATGAATTTGATTTAAGGCAGACTAGGGCTGTTCCATCAAATTGTAATAAACAAGTCACTTTAGCAATATAAACAAGTCCATGAAAATTAATTGGGTATTATTCATCCTTGCTAATAAATCAGACTGTGGAAAACAGGAATAATCAACGGTGTTCAGGAGGCCAGAAGCCGGTTCTCGTTCAAGTACAGATCTTGCCTATTAAAGAACATTGGGTATCAGCTCAAAATAGTAAACAGGGTATACAGTTTCAGATTCCATAAAGTGCAGCTTTAAATAGTCTTGGTTTGGAAATGGGACAGGGAACACACCACAGTCAGTGGATCAACGTTAAGAGCAGAGAAAAACAATGATTATACTCATTAAGTGGGTACCTGTTGACACATCTACTGTCAAGTCTAATTATTTATTTAAACTGTTATTCTCTCTTCATTACTGCCACTGATACCAATTCTTACCACAAGATTATTTTAAATTCTATAGCAGGTCCTAAGATATTCCCTTCTCCATTTTCCAAAGGTTATTTGGAAAGATTTTATCCTTCTCTCCCCACCAGCACCTACCTCCAAAATTCAGAAGATATAAAGAGATGGATAAATGATAGATAGATAGATAGATAGATAGATAGATAGATAGATAGATAGATAGAGCAAGATAGATAGGAAATCCCTCTTTCTTACGAGCAATTTTTCCAGGCTTGATTAAATCCCTATTTGTAGTTTCAATATGGGGTTTCAGTGAAAAGGAGGATGGCAGTTTACCATTTTTTCAAAGCTTATTCTATTAATATTTAACAATTTGCACTTGGAGAAAAGTTAATATAATGTTTGCAGTTACTAAATGAGTAAGTTAGATCTCTAACAGAGCTATTAAAATCTATTATTATATGTCTACAGTCATTCTTTTATGATATATTTATCCATGAAAATACATGAAATACATGAGAAAGGAGACTTTTTCAGGGGTATTTTATGGACTATAGAGGGATTGAATGATGGGCAGGAGCCATTCTTGTATTTTTAGCCACTACCATTTCTTGTAACCCTCTCTTTGCAGTCATGAGAATAAAATCTAACTAACACAAGTGGCTGCTACATCTGATCTAATTATAGAGGAGTTTAGCCATCCATATACCACCCGCCTTATTTGCACATGACATGTTTTTTATTCAATTTTATGGTGAATATTAGCTTTGAAAATCATATTAATGTAAAACCATAATTTCCACTTAATTCTAAATCACTAACTCCTACAAATATGGAGCCATGTCGATAAACTTCAATTCTTTTCAATGTCTATGTAGCTAAAGTCATGTTACAAGTTCAAGATCATGTAAGATCATGAAAATAACATAACAAAGAAATAAAAATATTAAGCAGAAGCATTTACATTATTTTTATGTTGATATCAGATCTTCCAAAAAGATGCTAGGATACCAATCCTATAGTTAGGAATACCATATTAACTACTACCCCTCTTTTTGCGTAAGACTTCTAAATGATGTCATAGAACTCGGCAGAGAGAACCTGGAAGTGAAGATATCAGCTAGTTAAGAGGTAGGAAAAATTCACATTCTGAAACTTTTACAACTATCATGCTTCTTTCAATTTTTTTTTCTGGCATCCATTTTCTGGACAAACTTGAGAAGAATGTATTCTTCAGGGAAAGGCCAATCTCCTTCACACAGGTCCTTTAAGAGAGTAGCATGCAGATATTATGGGTCCTGGATTTCAAGACTCTAACTCATTTTATTATTCCCAGGAATTATGGTTGTTGTAACCTTGGATTATATATTTTTGAGATGTTTTGGGGAGCAGATAAGAGATGGCGATGGACCTAATTAGTAAAGTTTGGTCCCTTCAGAGCCGGGTAAAACTGGCAGCAAAATGGAATGAAAAATGCACTCAAAAAGGGGGCCAGGAGCCAGGCTGGCATGGCTCAGTGGTTTAGCATTGACCTAAGAACCAGGAGGTCATGGTTGAATTCCTAGTCAGTGCACATGCCTGGTTTCAGGCTCTATTCCCAGTGTGGGGTGTGCAGGAGACAGCCGATCAATGATTCTCTCTCATCATTGGTGTTTCTATCTCTCTCTCCCTTTCTCTCTCAAACAACAAAAATATATTTTTTTAAAAAATAGGGGCCAGGAAACTAGAGAGAAAGTCCTCCTGTCACATGGTATTGAAGCATACAAGATGACAATAGATAAGAACATTCTAGTACATAGCATATTATAAACACTTAATACTCATTAAATCAAAATCTTCTGCATGGCCCAGATTTTTGAGCTTTTGGTATTAAACCTTAAGGAGTAAGAATGGAAAGGGAAAATTAAGTCAAGGAGACATAAAGGGAGGGCAGTTCATTGTCTTGATCATTCTTCAGTTTGGGTGCTCATGAAAGACCTTTGTGTTTCTTCTGTTGGGAGTGAAATCAACTTTAAACATTATTGCCTACGATGCCTATTAGCATTTCATAAGCACGAAGTCAATCCTCTCTTACCTCGTAGGATGGTCAGTGGACACAAGCTTCAGCAAACTTCAACACTAGTCTGTAAATGAAAGATTGGGTAAAAATTACTCTTAGGTACTAAGCCATATTTATTTCTAAATAATCATAAACTCTTATATCTACATAGTGGTTTCTTGTTTTGCAAAACATTTTCACATTCGTATTCGCATTTCACCCCACACCAACCTGATGAAGAAGCAGGAAGAGATTATTCTACTGACTTCATAGGTGGGGAAACAAAAGCTCACTGAGGGATAGAGAAGATGAGAAGGGAACCAACATCTCTCTCACAATAAACTGCACAAATACCATGTGAAGTGGGTATTATTGTCTTCATTTTATAGATGTGGAAATGGGGTTCAGGAAAGGTAAGTAACTTGCCAAAACTACATAGTACAGTATAGGGCAGGGTATGATTTTGGACCCTCTGGTCTAGTGATCTTTTTCCTTATACCTCAGTTTCTCCTAATAAATGAGGTTGGGAAAACACAGAGACTTAACAGCTCATTGACTTGATCTACTAGATTGGTTAAAGGGGGAATAATAAGATAAAACTAACTATTTGACTGACATGAGGAAGTAGGACACACACACACATGGGATTTAGAGCTAGTCAAACTTGTCTTCCTCTCACCAATGGCCTTAGGCAAGTTACTATCTGAGTGTCAATTTCCTTATATGTAAATGAAGATTATAATATCTGCTTTATAGCCAAAGCTCACTTAAACATTATTTGGAAAATTTTCCTCCATTATTTCATAACAATATATATGGACAGTGGTGATACACACAACTATAATATTTCTTTCTATGAGCCTGTTTTTATGATGAAACAATGATGCTATAAAAATGATGATCACATCCCCAGTGGGAGATGTGCAGGAGGCAGCTGATCGATGTTTCTCTCTCATCAATGTTTCTAACTCTCTATCTCTCTCCCTTCCTCTCTGTAAAAAATCAATAAAATATATTTTTTAAAAAAGACTGCAGACATATCTCAAGTCCTTTTAAAGTTTGTGCTTATATAATGCCTTAGGTTCAGAGAGATGGTGCTTCTAATAAGACTGCAATGAAAGCATTTGCTTTACTACAATGGATAGATTTACTGAGAATTATAAGACCTCTAGGAAGTTTTTGTAATATATACCATTTTCATATAAGACTCAAATCAGATTAAGAACAGAACATGGGCCTGGCCAGTGTCTCTCAGTGGTTGAGCATTGGCCTATGCACCAGGAGGTCACTGGTCAGGGCATATGCCCAGGCTGCAGGTTCTATCCCCGGCATGGGACATGCAGGAGGCAGCTGATAGGTATTGATGTTTCTCTTTCTTAGATGTTTCTATCTCTCCCTCTCTTCCTCTCTCCCTAAAATTCAATAAAACATTTTTTTTAAAAAAGAATAGAACATGATAGATAAGATGCACTACAAAAACTCCTTGTCATATGCCACCAAAATCAAAACATTAATCATGTGGAAAATATTGCATGACTGTTTTTGTTTTTCTTAATGATTTTTAAATTAATTTTTAGAGAAAGAGGAAGGGAGAGGGAGAAAGGGGGGAGGGAGAGAGAGAGAGAGAGAGAGAGAGAGAGAGAGAGAGAGATTTTTGAGAGAGAGAGAGAGAGAGAGATTTCAATGTGAAAGGGAGACATTGATCAATTGCCTCCTGCATGTCCCCTATAGGGGACAGAGACTGCAACCTGGGTATGTGCACCAACCAGGAATCGAACTAGCAACCCATCCATGCATAGGATGATGCCCAACCAACTGAGCCCCACCTGCCAGGGCCTGCATGACTGTCTTATCTCAAATAATTGTCATTATAACCCCAATTTTACCAACAAGGAAACCAAATATCAATGATTACATGGTTAATATGAAACAGATAAAAAAAATAACCATGTGCCTTGACACGGAAACCAGTAAGGACCCTCCCACTCACAATGCAGCCTCCCATTCGGGAGTGCTCTACTTGT